ACCCTCTCTAAGGGATTGGGATCCAGGCCAGGCCCATCCAGGAATCCTGTCTTGGTGGGGTCCTCCATACCCCGGGAACAGGGGTCTCCCTTGTGAAGGCTTATCTTGATCACAGCCTACCCCAGCATGACCTCGGCCACAGGAGCCTTGGGGACAGGGTGTGCATCTAGTTGGATTCTGCTAGAAGGAACGTTGGGTTTGACTCCGAAAGGCCCCTCCCTGCACTGTGGCTTTTGACAATCTAGCTTCCTAGCACACATCTTGATGGATTCTCCAGGGACGTCTCTAAAAGAGACGTATACCTTAATTTAGAAGTGAATAACTCAAAACTCTGTGATGCAGCAGGCTGCTGTGGGAGAGAGAGAGAGAGAGAGAGAGAGAGAGAGAGAGAGAGAGAGAGAGAGAGAGAGAGGAGAGAGAGCGCGCCACTCTCTCTCACGGAAGCCACTGTATGAAGCTGCCAGTCACACCTGCCCCATGTCTTGAGTGGCCACTGGCCGGGGGGAGGGCGTGGAGGACAAAGACGGAGGGGGAAGAAATGATAACACACAGGGAGCAACTCTTGATGTGGGGAATGTGTGTGGCTTTGGGATCCCTAGCCAGGAGATCATAGACAAGATCACAGGCTCGTTCCGACTGACCCCACACAGCTGATCTACCCACTCAGGGGAATGAAGAGAGAAGAGGGAGGGCAGCAGGCACCTCACAGCACAACTTGTTAGACCTCTTTCTCCGCACACCACAGTCCTATAGTCCGCAGAAGTAGGCCAGCTCCATGGCCATACACACACCGGTGGCTACACAGGGCTCTCAGTCAACCTAACATTAAGCTGTGGCCATTTTGGAATGCTTCCTAATCTCTTACCAAGGCCCCAGTTAACTGTGTGGCCAGAGCTTTTCCACGATGCTTTAACCCCAGTGTTTAATGCGGGGACCCCCGCCGCCTGTCCTGGGGTGCCTTCTCCAGTTTCCAAAAGGACCATGACAAGGGTGTTCCCGCCTATCCGGTCTGCCAGCTTCAGTCTCCTGCCCTCAGGTCCCACTGGATCTGCAGTGAACCCACTGGCCCACCCCTTCCTGAGCACTTTGGCGCCAAGGACCCCATTGACCTCGCTCTGATCACAACATGGTCAATACCTGCCGGAGTCTCGTCAGATGCCCGAGCCTCTTCCTCTTGCAGGAGTCTTCAGGAGCCTCCTTCCTTAGCCAGCTGTACTCTGGCGGCCCAGATAAGTCCCTCAGAGCTCCCACCTGACTCATCCCCTCCCACCACCCCTTCTGCCCGTCTTCAGTCCCTCGTCCGAAACACTGCCCAGCCCCAAGTGGCCTCAGGGTCTCATCCTAGCCCAGTCTACTTTGGCGTTACTTATAATATCATTGCTCTTTGGTAGTGGGGATGGAACCAGGAGCTTCCCCTGCCTGACAAGTCTCTCCCACTTAGAGCTATATACACCCAGCAGAACGGAGCACAGTAAAAAACCCCGAGTGGTTTCAGATCCTCCTCTGTTCTAACCTGCCCAGGTCCTCTGACTCACGGGAGTGTGAGCCTTCCCTGACCCAGTCTGAAGAACCTATCCACAAGACTGCAGTGAGCTCTGGCCCGCTATCCTTCTCTTTCATGTGTACATATGAGCATGTTTATGAGTGTGTGGTGTGAGGTGTACGTGCGCATATGCGCGTGCGCGCACACACACACACACACACACACACACAGACCAGAAGACAACCTTGAATGTTGCATCTCTCTGGGTGTTTCGAGAAGGGGTCTCTCATGGGCCTGGGTTTGGCTGATTGGGCTACACTGTCTGGTTAGCTAGGCCCAGGGACTTGTCTGTTTCTACTCCCCATGCCCAACAAGGGAATTAATTACAAGTACGCACCCCTCACCACCTGTTTCCTTTTCTTTTTCTTCATGTGGGTCTTGAGGCTGGCACTCAGGTCAGTGGCAAGCGCTTTACTGACTGAGCCATCTTCCCCAGTCCCTCCACTTTGAACTTCTGAGACAAGGTCTTGTTCTATAGCTCAGGCTGGCATCAAACTTGGCACCCCCTTGCCTCTTCTCTTGTGTCTCTCCCCAGTGTGGATACATTAAGTGATGGCTGACGTGGGGACCAAGGACAGCACTGCTAGTTCTTTTTCGATGAGGACAAGAAGGGTCAGAGAAGATGGGTCTGAACTATAGGCAGCAGGACCAGGAGCTGTCTCCATGGCTTCCGATCCTTACCCCAGAGTCCCTGCTTAATGGCTCTCTGTTACTGAAAGCCTTGGTGCTCCTAGGCTCTCCTCAGGCTACACAGAGTACAGTGTGGCCTCTGCCTGCCTGGAGCTAACTTTTGGTGTCCGCATCGAACACTTTTTAATCACGTTCCTCTGAGTCAAGCACAGGACTCACAGGCTGACCCAGGCTTGGATACCCTGGGTTTCCTTCCTGGGGGCTTTGGGAGTCCAGTGGGCTATCTGCTTCCTCCAGAGTTTCCACGAGCAAGTCACAGTCAGCAGCAGCTGTTGCACCTCTGCAGACACCCAGTGTTTCTGAGGCTTCTGTGAGGTGGCAAAGGCATGCTCTGTCCTTGCCTCCAGGGGAGGAAGCACACACGCACACACGCACACACGCACACTGTCATCCAGGTTCACATTCCAGACTACTGAGTAGCTAGACTATCTGCAAGAAGGCTGTCTCCCAGCAGCCTCTATGCAGGGGCCTCTTGGTAGTGATGTCTGTAATCCAGCCACCCAGACACTGTTGGACTCACCATAGGATCTCTTGAGGCACAGACTGAGACTTTTTTTTTTTAATTCATAGGAATCAGAAGGTCTAGGAGGTTGGGGACAGAAGAAAGAATCCATTCTCTATGCTTCAAACTCTGAGTTCCACGGCAGGTCCCTGGAATGGGTCAGGGCAGGAGACACAGATCATGTACTCCATGAGGGCAGGCAGGCTGTGTTCTTGCTGTGGCACCCGGAGCCTCAGCCAATACCGAGTGTGTGTGTGTGTCTATCTTTGATGGGCATACTACCAAGATGAGTAAGATCCAGGCCCTTCTGAGAGAAAATCAAAAACATCTCTGGGCACAAAAGAGCATATCTAGGGCAGAAGGTAACATGAGTCTTCTAAGGAGGAAGAACTACATCTACTCACAGGCCGTCCGTCTCATAGGAAACCATCCCTCAGTGGGACATGCCGGAAGAGTTCTACACCAAATGTCAGCATCCCTTCAGGTCTAGAGGAGACAGCAAACGGAAGCCCAAGCATGGGGCAGCCCTCTGCAGCTTCCTGGGTCCCTCCACGGCCCCTCCCACCATGTCATTGGTTTTCAACCTTCCCAACTCCAGACTCAACCAGCTAAACGTGGTCTCCTTCAAAGAGGGTGACTTCATCTTGGCTAAGAAGGGGGCTGGGTGGGTTGGCTACCCAGGGCCTTGGCTCTACCAGAGACAAGGTACCTTGTAAGGGCAGACCCGGGTGGCCAGGAGCCCTCTCTCATCTTTGAAGTTCTTCCTCTAACACAACTCAGTTCCAGGGGTCACAGAACCATTTCCTTTTATAGACATGGGAGCTGTGGGTTCCACTGAGACAGCTTAACAATGGTGTCTGGCCACGGTGTCTGGCCTTTCGCCCACCTCTCCCTCATAACCCCGACTCTTCCCCACGCACACCGTGTACAGCCTAGCCACCACAGCTCCCGAGTCTCCATTCATCCTCTCCCCCCTGCCCACTGCACCCATGTCCTTCAAGCTCCAGTTCAAATGTCACACTGCCCATAGGCAGGTCTGACCTAAAGCCTGGGGTATCTCTCTCAGGCCCCTCCCAAGCCCCCTGCACTACACTGAGGGCCTGATGATCAGAGCACAGCCATATTCCCCCCTCCCCCATAGGAAGGCGAATCAGTCCTGGGAGGGCAGGCCCAGTCCACTCCCACCCTTCCACCTCAGCACCGGGCCCTGGGGGAGCCAGCACTCAGTAAATGTTTGCTTAATTGAATCTGGCCAAGCAGCTTCCTCTAGACCGGGGCCAGGTTAGCAGAACTAGATGATTCCTAGTGCAGGGGAAACCACTTGGGCAGAAAAAGAGTCTGTCAGGGCTCAGGCGTCTTGCCCCAATCCCCTTCCCAGACAAGGCGACCTCGTTTACTAGCCTGGTCCCTCCACCCCGAGACTCAGACTCCAGGGAAGCCTGGTCTCACTTGGCAATGCTTTCCCATCCTCCTCTATGTAACAGGATCCCCAATTCTCGGCCTAGGCAGATTCCTGCCATCCTCACCCAGACAGGCTCAGCACCTCCCCAAAGGCAGAGCCCCCATAGATCCACCGCAGGATCCCGAGCAGAGGCCCTCACACCCCTCCCCAAACACCCCACCGCCTTTTAAGGGAAAAAAATATTGAGCCAGGAACACATTACAATCGCAGCAGGTCGATACTCATCTCTGGCTCCAAATGCCTCCAAGGAACCTGCTCCCTTGCAAGAGCGATGACCGAGAACAGCGAGCTTGTTGTACCCGGGCCTCAGGGCCCTCTCTTCCCGTTCTATCAAGGCCAAGCGCAGGAGCTCCTGACACCTGCGGCTGCCTGAACCCCTGCCCCCCGCGGGAGAGAGACCCCCCGCCTGGCGTCGCTGCCACTGCCGCAGGTCGCCCGCCTGGGCTTCGCACCCGCAGCTGCTCAGGGCGTGCAGTGGTCCCACATCATCCTCGGCGCCCCCTGCCCAATCCCGTCAGGCGGCGGCCAGCCCTCCCGAGGGTTATTGGGCCGCCGTGCCTCCCTCCCCAGGCACCTGTCTGGGCCGTGGCCACCCCTGCCCACCTCGCAGACAACCCCACCCTCGCGGCTCTCCCACCCGGTGGGTCATTCCCGCCTCTGTACCCCTAGCCCTAGAGATCTCGGGTCCCCAGCACAAAGGCCCCAGGCTCGGGCCCGGGTGGGGGTGGGGTGAGCCCCAGCCGCGCCCCCAGCCCTGGGTTCAGCTGTGCGCGCCGGGGCCGCTGGTGCGCTCACTCACTCACCTCCCGGGCGCGGCTTCGTGCGTCGGTCGAGCTGCACCCGGCGGGGCGGGGCCGCGAGCGCGGGGCTGTGGCACCCTGGGTTCTGCACGACGCGGGTGCCGGCGCCCGCGCGAGGACGTGACCGGTCCGCGGGTGGCACACACGCTCCGCCGCCCTGGCTCCCTCCTCCGCCCTCCCGCGCCGCCCGCAAGCGGGTCCACCCGCTCCGCACCGCGCCGCCGCCGGCAGGGGGCGGAGTCGCGAGCGCAGCCCGTTGCCAGGCCAACCGCAGGCGGGGTCTGTCGCTCGCCTGCCCCGTACCACGCGCTGCCGCCGGACCACTAGCTCCGGCTCTTTTTCCATTGGGCGATAACGGCCGACGGACGTACAAGCAGTCCAATAACGACAGACAGGGGCGGGGCCGCGGCTGTGTGCGCGCCGCCGTACCGCACGCGCTGCTGGCTCTAGCGACTGTAGCACTGCACTGCGCTGAGCCTTGCTGAAGCCACTTCTAGCATCTTGGGAAACCCACCCCGAGAGCGTCGTAGCCCTGGTTCCCTGCACCCTGGTTGCCCCGCCCTTGTCTCTACCTCATTGGAGTTCGAACTCAGCCCTGGCAACCTACTCTCTCACCAGTCTCTATGCAAAGTGCTGTCGGTCCTGGCTTCCTTGGATCACCAACCCTTTAGGGCACGTGAAAACACTGGTGGGCTAAGCTAGGAAGGTTTGCGCAGCTTGTCATTCGTCATCTCTTCTGCTCTCCTTTGCAGCTTGTAGGGGCACTTTTAGGAGTCCCTCCCACCCCAGCAGAGAGAAACCAAAGGGAACCAGGTCAGTGAAGTCCCTGCCGGCTTTGGAGACTCCCCTAGAGACATCAGACCCTTGGCAAAATGCACCTAACTGCAGGCTGTGACATTCTGCTTAGTATCAAGAGAAGCCCGTGTGTGGGTCTTGGCTGGGGGCACCTCATTCCGTACAAGAAAGACTCAGACCAGGGGGGGGCATCAGAGTAGTGCCTACCTGTCATTTCCAACCTTGTAACTAAGCATATTATGTGTCTTAGAGCCCCGGGGTGAGATAAGGAGCCATGGTCACATGTTGGTGCCTGCCAGCAGGATGCTTTGGAAGCAGGACACCATCCCACCATCTCCCTGGGAATGGTTCTTTTGCTGTGAAATGGGGACTGCTGTATTGCATGCATACTTGGGCCGGGGTGGGGCAGGGGCAGCCCACCTGTGAAAGTGCTTTCTAAACTTTTAGGAAAGGGACAGGTACTGGTTATGGGCACTGCTGAAGCCAACCTAGACATGCTACAATGCACGCTAGAAGTGACCAATGAGGACCCAAGGCATTTTGCTAATGGTGGAAGAACATGCCTACCAGGTCATCAGGCTGTGGGGCCAGCCTTCTGTCACTGGGGCCTGGCTGGCAGTCCGTCTCCTAATCTGTTAAAGAGGTTACTATAGACTCCTCGGAGGGTTAATGTATAGGAAATAAGGGACCAGGGCTGGGCAAAGGCATTTTTCACGGCAGACCCAGGGGTCAGATTTCAACCTTTTGCAGAGGGTAAAACCAGAGCAAGAATTAGATTACCCACTACAGGTGGGGGAGCAGAGGCTAGCCCCTGAAGTGTATACCAGTGCTGCTTGCTGCCTCCTGGACCTGACCCTGGCAACTACCTCAAAGCAGGAAGCTTTGGTCTCACCTGGTCTTTTGCTGGTGGCCGCCACGTGGGGGTGTACTTCTAGAATACAGCTCTGCACCCTTTTAGGAGACCCTGGACGCAATAGAGCAGAGGGGAGAAAGCATCACATCCTCTTATTATGCACCTGTAGCAATCCAGTGGGGGCCCAGGGCAGGGAGAACCCCGAGCACTGGGCCGGCTTTATAAAGATAGATCCTTGGGCTGGAGCTATGCCAAGAGCAGGATGGCCAGGTGTCAGAGAGACGTGAGTTCCAAGGTGGCCATGAAGGAACGTGAGGTCTGTTGAGAGCCTAGAAAAGGCCAACTTGTCCACCCTAGCACCTACCAGACACGCAAGGACACTAGGGAATAGTCACACCTAGCTAATGGCCTTTTAGTACAATTGAGGAGGTCAGCTTAAGGACCAGCAGAGAAATTTAGGATTAGCTTTCACACTGGAGAAGGCGAGTAGTAAGTATTGTATTATCTGAGATAGGTATGGGCTCATAAGACAGGGCAAGCTGTGTTGCTGGGAATCATTGGATAATGAAAATATTGTGTAGTCCAGCTAGAAAAAGTAAGAGCAGGCTGTGAAGCCAGTCTACAAGACCTAGTGCAGGATAGAGCCTGTTGCATCTGTGGAATGACAGGAACACCGATTCCCTAATGTCTTCACTAGCTTTCCCGATACCCTGGTGTGGGCTGGGGGTGTTCTGCGCTTCCCTGGATTTTCAGGGCCTGGGCTTTGGAGATGGCACCTGTCCTGGCAGGCTCCTTTCTGTGCCCTGCCTATCTTGCTTCCACGACTCACTGATTCTCAGACGGTTACAGCCGGGCTGGTTTCTGCACTGTGTTTCCCTGGGGTCCCTGCATCCCATTCCTCACTTTAATATTCCAGACGGTACCTGGGTTAGTTATAATTAGCCAGGCCTGCCAACTCGTCTTTTAGTGGAAGAGAAATGATGTAAATGAACAGAGAAGACACCCCCCCATACAAACTTTGTTTTTGATGTTTTTCCCCCTTCGTCTCAAAATGAATCTTGGTCCTTCTGCTTAGCATTCCTAGGAGCAGTTTCTGGAGACAGATGCCCGGGGAAACAAAATCTGAGCTCCCTAGGGTCCCGGCTTTGCCCTTGGCTGGCAAGTCCTTGGGCATTAGACTTGTTTTCTGGGCCTCAATTCCTTACCAAGGAAGGGGCTAGATAAAGGCAAGGAGAATGAATGCCTCTAATATTATAACTTTTATGACCTGCCTTTATCCTTCCCCAGCCTCTGTCTGTCTCAGTTCAGATGCTAGTCCCAGGCAGAAGGGACACCAACCACCCCCTACCCCCGCCCCCCAGCTCAGGGTTCCCCACCAAGGGTAGACACAGGTGCAAGTCAGGGCAGAATCAAGTCCCAGTTGGAGGATGAACAGCTTCTGCAGTGCTGAGGGAACCAGGCTCCAAGATTAGGTAATAGGTCCAAGTCACACAGCTGAGAAAAGACACATTTAGGCATCAAGTCTAGGCTCTGTAAGTCTGGGTGGGAAATAAACAAACAAACAAAAAACCCAAAACCCTAAAAACATACCCAAAACCCCAAAACCCTAAAAAGCAAACAAACAAACAAAAAACCAATTCATTGAAGCAGGAAGGAGGAAGGTAGGTGGCTTCCCTGAGTTGTCCTGACATCTTTGTGCATCAACGGGCAGAGCTAGTTGCTGTACCCGGGCACCCCAGGGAGGAGCCAGCCGGATAAGAGCACCAGGAGCAGTGCAAGCTGCCACGAGATCCCTGCCCCACCCCTCCACCCCATGGCCACAGTCACCTGCCATCCAGCATCCTCAGGGACCGGGGAAGGAAAGCTGGGGTGATGCCCGCAAAGAGGAAATTCCCTGGTGCTAATTGGCACCAAGAGACCTTTAGGCTAATTAACCTGTTCATTTGCCTCTCTAGAGTAAATTAGAGGGTTTAACTGGGGAGACCGAAAGAGATGTTTGCTGGTGGCCACCTCCTCAGGGGCAATGGGAGGCTTTGTAGTGGGCACAGTGGGCTGCTGGAGAGGCTTGGCAGAGGGGCTGGCTGCCAGGCGGTAGTCACAGGTGGCCCTTGTGTGGCGGTGAAGAGAGCTCCTTTTTGTTCCCTTTTCATTGCTGTGACTTGGGAAGGCTGCTCCGACAGCCTGGGGCTTCCCGGGTGCTGTCTGTGCCTGGTTCCAGGTTCTCCAGGAGAAGAGGGGTCGATCCTGTTTAGTGGGGTGCCATTTCGCTGTGTTGCTAGCCTCTGTGCCCCATGGTTTGGTTCTAAGATGCCCCTCCCCACAACTGAACATTTGTTCCCCATCTGGTGGCACTGACTTGGGGAGGCTGCGAAAGCGTTAGGGGGAGGTCAGCAGTGGGGTGTGCCTTAAAGTTTATAGCCCCCCACCATGTCTGTCTAATGTGTGCTTCCTGTTCTGCAGAAATGTGAATTAGTAAGGGCTCCCAGCTTGGTGCTTCCATTGCTATGACCCACCTGTGGCCATGCCTTCCCTGTTCTTTCAAGGCTCCTGTACTTGTATCTTTAGTTACAGCAGTGAGAAAAGAAACCAGTGTAGCCCTGGCCTTGCATGGCCCCAGGGATTTCCAAAACCCCCTGGCCAGATCTTGTCGTTTTTAGATGGGGGACACAGATCTTTGGGGGTACAGGAGACACTGTTTTACACCCCACATTTTCTGCCTCAGGTTCTATTCCAGGCATAGTTTGGGTGCAAAAGGAAGTTCCATGCTCCCCCACCACTCTGGAGGGAATTTGGTTGCTTTCCCTTTTCCCATGACGGAAAGGGAAGGAGGGGAGAGAGAAAGGGGGAGAGGGGAAGAGAGGGAAAGGGGGAGAGGGGAAGAGAGGGAAAGGGAGAGGGAAGGAGGGGAGAAATGGTTGGCAGCAAGACATAGTCTTCAAAGGCACAGTGTTAGTTTTCGTAATTCTAAAAAAGCAGAAAGAAGCCATGCACAGAGCTTGGGTGGAGGGGTTTTTATTGGAGGAAAGTGAATGGGAGAAGAGGGAAGGGGAGGAAGGGGGAGGGGAGCAGGGAGACCAGGCCCTGGGACAGGAGCAGCAGAAGAAAAGAGAGATGCAAAGAGGGAGGGGGGAGAGGGAGAGAGAGGGAGAGGGGGAAGGAGAGGGGGAGGCAGAGAGAGACAGAGAGAGGTGGGAGGTGGGTGGCAGGGCCCTTTTAAAAGGGAACAGGGAACGTAGTGAACGTGTACAGGTGCTCTTAGTGGCTGCAGCTGAAGGCGTATCCTGTCAGAACCCCAAGGACAGGTCAGTACAGATGCCTGAATACTAACATTAGTGACCCACTGCTAATAGACCCCACGCCCTATTTAGCTCATTCAGCTATGAACTGATAGACCATTGATGATTCTAATTAATGAGGTAAGTGCCACGGTGAGCCAATCACCTGTCAACTGCGGGGGATCAAGTCTTTAACCTATGAAGCCCTCAGAGATAGTTTATGCCCAAACCATAATAGTGTGGGAGAGAGAGGCTCTCTCTCTGTGTGAGCCTGGA